TGCACATATTTTTGAAAAGGTAAACCCTACATTTGGTCAGGAAGAGAGCAAAATGAGGTGAAATACTGAAAAGAATCTACTAATGCAAATTAATAAATCTCTGTTTGGCAGACAGTTTAATGAGTCCTTTAGCCATAGCTTGATGATTAAGACTGGGTTGCATTTGACAGACAAATAGACAGTATAAGCTCTTTGTTAATTCTGAATGTTATAGAATATCCTCTGTAAAGTTATAGCATTTGATCTTTTAGTGCAGAATGAATTTCCTGTTATTCTAGAGCCAAATCTCTAAATAACTCAAATTAAAGTTAATTTTAAATGGACCTATTAATCTTTTATCTGGCATACCTTTTGTCACAAATGATTTTACAATGTGAAACCTTCAACTTCCCATGATTAAAAACTCACTGAAATTTTTAACTAGCCTAAGAAATAAGACTATAATTAAAATAATTTATTTACTTATAGCAGCTCATCTTGATTCTAAGACAAAGTTGAAATCTGGTATGTCTGCTTTAGGCCGTAAAGTAAAAGTTAGGCAGAATTTAGAAGCCTAAATCCAGAAGGCAATTCAGGGGCTCATTCTCCAATGACTATACAATACTTAAATGTGTATAGCTCAGTAGGTAAAATGGTGCTCTAAGATTTTCATGGTTACCAATGTACAGCCAAAGTGCTCTGTCCTCACTCTCTCTTGTCTGCTAAAACCACAAGGGACTCACTTTGAAGGATTTGCTTTAGCATACTTATCACTCATGGACAGCACAAAGCACAGGAGCCAAAGTACTTCTTTGCACTCAGAGTCAACCTCTTGTAGTCTCAGTGTCCTCTCAGCATGAGGGAACTCAGCCTCTTCCTTAACCTGAGAGAAGTCAAATACACATCTTCTGATTTCCCAATATGCTCTAACCACTAGACAATGGTGAAAGTCCTTCCATGCATGTCCTGATGGAACCAAGCCATCGGTGCTCTGTCACCAACTAAAAACCCTAGTGCCAAGAGGAGACCACTTGCTTCTGCAGTCTGATAGTTTGGGCTGTGAGGTGGGAGGAATGAATCCTGGGATCTCTTCTCTGGGCGGATCATTACAAGTTTGTTTTGTTCATCTTGCCGTATTTTGCAGTGGAAAATATGGATCTTGTTTAACTGCTTCAATCCATTTCAATTACCAATGACTAGTTTCAGTAACTGTACATGCTCTTCTGGTAACTCCACATGCTCTTCTCTTGTGCGTCACTGTCTTTGACACCTCAGCTTTTCTTGTTTGCTCAGTAAGGACTCTGGATACCAAACACGGGGATGGTGTTTTCACCAGATGGCAGGGCTGTTAAATGCTAGGTATTCAAATGCTATATTTTTTTGTGGGTCTAGCCCAAATGCTACGTTGCCCATATCTGATTGACCATTGACTTTGAATAGGAAAATCCTGGTCTACATCTCTACACCTTCATGGTTGAAGTTGTTTGTTCAGTGTTCATTGAAAAGATCAGTAGTCTTAAAGTAGTTCCTCCACACCTCATTCACCCTTCACAAAATACCTGTTCAGGATATAGAATAATAACGAAGAAACATAGCTTCCTGTCTTACATTGTGCTTCATGTAAAATTATTCAGCAAATCTTTTCTATAATGAATATGTATAACAAATCTTTAGCTTGTCACAAGTCTAATCATGAATGGAAAAGAGTAAAGATATCATGTTATTCAAATAGATTTAACTAAATGAATTGATTCCTTTAAAGCTCTGCCATTTCTTGTGCATTTTCCCCATTTCATTTCCACTGCATTTCTACATGTCCTTCATCCAGATTGAAATATAAACTTTTTCCAGCTTGCTTACCAGATCAATCTCATAATGAATGAAGATTTGAGATATTTTTCCATCCTTGATTAAAAAATACAATAAAAGATGTACACCTATTAGTGGACTGGACCAACATTTGTCCACTATACGCTGGAAAATGAGCTCTATAGTGAAACTGCTGACCCAACTTTAATTTACAGCTTGCATAAACAGGGTTGGGATAATAAAGCTTCTTCAGTGCCTATATGCTATAAATAGGATGCACTTGTCAGTTGCCTTGCCCAGGCAAATTGTGCTTGCTTTTCACCCTGCACCTGTGTGCCTTTATGTTTCTTAGAATAGTAGTGGCGCTCTCTATTCACTTTGTCCATCTTTCAAAACTGAAAATTCCTCCGTACTTCATTAGAGTCCCGCTATCACACTTTTATCACCTGAGCACATCCAGTAACACAGAGTTTCAAAATATCTGCTTTCTTATAAGTATACTTATCTACCAGTGTTCAGGCACATCTTTGATTATTTATCTCTGAAACTCTTTCATATGCAACTCTTGCAATGACAGTCTAACACAGCTTGCTTGTTGTGGGTTCCAGTGCCTGAGATGCTCTGAGAAGCGTGTCCAATACAGGTTTATGAAATGCCTAAAATGTAGATGCAAATAAGGTGTCTAAATTGGGAAGGTTGGATTCCAATCTACCTGTTTTCTAAACTGGGCTATGCCCATAATTTAAATGCACAAAAATGTATAGAAATTGGCCACAGTAAGCTGCAGTGCCTCCCAAACTACATGCCTGTTCTAAAGGAACTATAGGAACTACCTGACCTGTCTGTCTGTATTTGTTCTTTGTTTTTTCCAATTATTGTTTCTAATTACAATCTTTTCATTTGTCTTCTGATGTTTCCTACCCACACTGGAAAAAAAAAAAAAAAAAAGAAGAGAAAAAAAAAAGGTAATGCATTTTGGTACACAAGAAGTCTCTGTTATCCCTCTAACAATATCTGTGGAACATTTCATTTTCCTTTGTGTTGCTGAGATGCCCCATTGCATTTTGTGTAAACATAAATGCAAAGAGGTTTTTGATTTCATAGTGGTATGCGACTGGGATGGAACCAAAACATTCTTCAATGAAGTCTTTCAAACACTTTCCGTCTTTCTTCTTTTTTCTTAAAAATGCAGAATTTTCAACTGTACTTGAAATTATAATACCTTTTATTAAGACATTATATAGGTTAATGCATTTCTCTTTGAAGTATCAGCCAACCAGCAATTAAGTAGATTCCCTACTCATCTTCAGGCATCTCCATGTGAAGGCTCATTCCTTCTCTGACAGCACGTGTGCAAGGGCTGACTTGCACAGGGCACAACTGAAGCAGCAGTATAAAGCCTGTGTAAGCCTTTGTAGCCAGGTAACTGCTGCTCCATGAAGGAACAGCAGGAGCCACAGGCAATAGCAAAGTCTTCTACCCTGGGAAACTCATTGCCCATCAGTGACAGAAGTGTCACTCAGCCCTCCTTGCAAGTGGAACCAACCACATGCGTGGTGTCGCATGAGCATTTTAGGGCACTGCATATCAATTCCTTTATCATGGTAACTAGCACACAGCCATCTCTCATTATCACAAGGATTATAAATGCAACCCTGAAAAGCATAACCATACTTCTCACATGAGCCCCTTGTGTGAGGTGAAGTATGGGAATTTTAGTCACATCATGGCTGCCTCTTACAGGTGGCCCTGTGAGGTCCTTAAGAAGGAAGGTAGCAGAGTAAGGGCCATGGGCCATTAGCTGTTATGGTGGGTTTGGTTCATATTCCCCAGCTAGGCCAGTTCTGCTGCAGAATATCCCCAAGTGAATGAATCTCAGTACCTGCTCTAGGTGCTGCTGTACTGCATAGATGTTAAGTAGGTCTTAAAGGATGGTGAGGTGGACTTCATAGCTTCATGGACTTGTGCTGTCATGAGGGCTTCAAACTGACTTGAACAAAATAAATAATCATTGGAACAGAAAAATTAAATGGGAAGGAACAGTTTATTCTAGGTGGATTATGAATCTAGTACTGAACTGTTTGGGTATTTCAAGATGAATTTATAGTTTCAGGCCAATTGAAGCTACATTTTAAGTTGTTAATGTATTCTCTGAAGGAAGACAAGGACCAGCCCCTGGTTCTAAGGATAACAACTATCTGTGACAAGTAGCATTACTAATTCTAAGCAGCAAAACAAGTTATAGTTTCTTGGTTATGGCCATTTGGGTATTTACATTTAGGGGCAAAATCTTGCTACTCCTGCAGCTGCTAATTGCTCTATGTAAAGGAATATTTTATGAGTATGACAATATTATATGACAACAGTTTTGAGACCAAGTTGTTAGAAATATGGACACTCATCACTGTAGGCAGTCTGGTTTGTGTGTTTCAGAGGATTGTGTTCATGTAACCTTGCTGACAAAGGGGAGTTTTTTCCATTTGCTTCATTTTTGGCACCTGCTTCATACAACTTCAGTTCCATTACTTTCAGGCATGAGATTGAAATAAGGCAATTCTAAATCTTTAATTTTCTTTATTTTCAGTGTAAAGAATGATAAATGGGGAGTGGGAGGCAGCGAGTTAAGCATAAAGTTTTAAACCCTTTTGGAAGACAAGGTTGCTTCAAATCATTAACAGGGTGGTTTGATCTATTTTCTTTCAGCTGTATGTAGTACAAATGAGAGCAGCTTCCCCTCAGCAAAAGTGTAGAACTTGAGTGCTTACCCACATGCATCTGTTTATTTCTTTAATTGTAAATATTGGAATGGGAGCACTCACAGCCTCTCACCATCTAACATGGCTAAGCCAGGGCAGACGGTAGCAGTCTCTGTTCATCATCCCACCAGAATGTGTGGGTAAGCTTGGTGCCCTTTGCAAATAATGGATGGAGAGCAGAAGGTGCTTCCCTCCTTGCACGGGGCTTGGCAGCACAAAACACCTCATGAGTTCAAGGAAAGGTTATTTTGCTGAAAGTCATTATCATTTATACATCATTTTACATGTCACTGGGCTCTTTACAGAGGACATAAGAAAACACCCACAGGTTTACATCCATGACAAAAGAGGCAGAGAAGCCTGTGTGAAATTTTGTTCAACGTGGATGTTGCAGTTCTACACTGCCAGGAGAATTAACTTTATCCACCTTTTTTATTATTTCCTGCTTACGAACAGGTTATTCATCAGCTTAGACTTTCAGAGAATGAGAGTGTGGCTCTGCAAGAGCTTCTAGATTGGAGGAGAAAGCTGTGTGAAGAGAGAGAAGACTGGCAGCAAATCTTGCACAACACTGAGCAAAGAATCACAGCCCCACCTCCACCCCCTTGTAAAAAACCAACGCTGCTGAAGAAGGTAGAAGATACCTCCTGCAACAGACTCTCTTCAGGCATATGGGATAGCACCATGTGATTCGGCTGTGTGTGTTTGCAGACTGTTAGGAACGAAACCATCTAATGACTTCAATCTGCACAATCAGCAAGTTTTCTTCCCTTCACAAAGTGTGCAGGGATTTTTTTATCAGCACTCATTCAAGAGCACAGGATGGAGGAGCTATTTAGATCTGTCGTGTGTACATGTACATGTGTGTGTTTGTTCTTTTCATATATATACACATATACATATATGTGTGCATCTGTGAGAACACATATGTATGCGTGTGTGTATATATATATGGAGACAAACTGCACTATAAGTACTTAGTCTGAAAGTACAAGGCGGTCACTTAGAGTTCTCCCGTGGACAACGAAGAAATTACACCAAGCAAATAACGACGGGGAGAAGTGACTGACAGGCATTTTAGAAAGATCAGGAAAGTCTGTGTGCACACTGTACAGCTGTTTTATATAGTACAAAAATATGATGTTTCTTGTTCCCTAATGAATGTTTTTATTATATTACATGTATACATATATATATTTCTTTGTAGATGTCTGTGTTCCATTGGCGTTGCGAACCTGAAGATTATTTACATGTTTATTACTGGTGTTTTATAACTTTATGCAATTGGTGCTGTTGTTCTTTCTTCAAAATACAGGTAATAAATTCAGTATTCGCATTTTTCTTTCATAGTTTATCTTTAACAACATACCAAACAATTTCAACACTGTGTTGTTTTTTTCAGAACTGGCAATATCCTTTCTAAAATCCAACCCTGAAATTCTTGCAAAGCTCCTATATGCTGGTGTGATTTGATGCTGTTCACAGTCATGAGTTAGAGAGCATGACTTCTCAGTGAACCTGTGTTTCTGCATGTGTGAACTGTGAATGCTGCAGTTACATCTCAAATCTTATTTCATTCTGGGTTATGTAAAATAATGAGGCACTCATTTATATTACAAGTATGGTTTGAAATTCATACCTGATTATGCGTAAGGTCAGGTGTCAGTGGAAAGATACATAATGGTAATGAGGTATGAAAATAGGGCTGTGATTTACTGTTACAAGCCAGAAGGCTTTATGGAGAAGGGTATATCAAAGGCTTATGTCCTTATGGTGGTACAGTGATGCATTTATACCTCAAATTTCATGTAATGACATGGTTTCAGAAATTGGAGCATTCTAGTTGGTGGACATGAGTTCTGAGCAGTAACGTTAATTTATGAAAAACATGCTGCTGGAAACTTGTTAGCTACTGATCAGCAGCCTTTGAAATACTGCTTTGCCACTAAAAGGTGTAATTTATATATATACACAGGTATTTTGTCAGGGGCTGCTTATTTTAAGTTCTTGGAGTATGTAGAGCCAGTGTGAAACACTCTTCTTGGCTGTTTGCCCCATTCCTATTGGAATCCAGGAAAAAGTGCTTGTAATTTTGCAAGTGGATGTAAAACTAATATTTTCAAATGTCAGCTAGGTTTATAAAAGTGAGCTCACGCTTGGTTGGAAGTTGTTGGGAAAGGAAAAAAACCTGCTTAGAGATGTAGGTTTTTCCATCACGTTTGACAGAAGCTTCAAGCAGGCTGAATGGCAAAAAGCAATCACATGCTTGCTTGTTTGTTTTTACAGGGAAGTAGCAAAACTCAAATTGTTCCCATGAGTATCATCAAGCTGTAGGCAGAATTAAGCACCTTCTCTTGCTGGAGATTAAAATAGATGTTTGGGTGGACAAGGAAGGGGAGACACCAGGTTAGCTCAGAATTTTACCTTGTTACCACCGTTAGCTTCACAGAAGTCCTCTCTATAAGATGACCCATTTTTAATTAATGGAGAAGCAGGGACGCTAGACTCTGAATGTTACCTTCAGCTGATGTCAATGGCCATAGATCATGACTTTACCCAGGAGGGGCAGATGACCACTGTGAGGTTATGCAGAAAACAACTCTCACCTGCTAAGCAATTATGTCAGAATGTGGCTTTGCCTGGAAGAATTGAGGTGTCCACCTTTTTGCTCAGATAACCAGGGACACACAGAGATCCCTGAGTGAAAGTGGAATGAAATGGCTCCAGAACTGGATGCAAGAGAGCTAATTAACCTGACCTTGCAACTACATTGCTTTCACAGGGCGCAGCATTGCTATACATAGCCATTAACAACATCTACCCAGCTAGCTTAGCCATCCTGAACACCTCACTGCACCGGGACATGCCAACGTGCCCTCAGGCTTATCGCTCCTCAAATGGGCCTGGCAAAGAGCCCTCTCATAAGCTCTATCATATTGCTAACTCTAATGCTCACGAGCTGGCTTGGTGGCTGGTAGCAATCAATCCACAGCAGCCTGGAGGTTTAGGGCAAGCTGTAAAAACTGTCTGAGAAGCCAGTTTGGATCATGCCAAGATCCCTGCCGTGGCAGCGAGCTTGCTACCAGTCACCGAGCTGGCTGCTCACAAGGTGAGCGTGTGCATCTCCCAACGCTGTTGTCATTGCTGCACTTGTAATGTGGGAGTACCCAGAGGGGAGAGAATACATTTGTCGAGTGGAGTTTAAAATGGAGTTTAAAATGGGAAATTGTATAGATGCACATTATACCATTTGCAATCCTTACTAAAAGCTGTCTTAGAGCAGTCATCAGCCTCAGCTGCAGGAGCTCAAATGGGGTCCGAGGAACATTTTTGCTCCTCGTTCAAACTCTGTGTTGTGCCCTATTATAGCAGTATGAACCAAGTGTGGAAAAAAAGGTGTGTAGATTTTCTAGCAGTTGCGTCAATACCGTTACAAGGGAGAAGCCAGTACAAACCTGACTCAGGCAATCTGATTCTCCAGACAAAGGGCAAAGCAGATTATTCCCTCCTGTGCAGAAGGTCTTTGTTCTATTTTTTGCAAACTTGGGTAAGACACATGTTTTCTGGGGCTCTTCCTTAAAGCATGTGCAATACAACAAACTAAATATGAGAAGATACGAGACCTTTTTATTTTTCAATTTTGTTACTAATTCCAGGTTATGTCATGGCTAACTTTTTACGTGGGAGGATTTTTTAGGGTATTCCATTAAAATATAGTACTATAGGAATAAAGTATTTCTGTTAAAACATGTTTTAAATATTTCTCTAATGGCAGTAAGACACTCCAGAGTGTGACTTATGATGTCATAATTCACACCTCGTGTGTTCATTGGTCCCTTGGCCTTTGGCCTCATGCCTAACAATGCAGTTGGTAGGGAATTATTATACCATAATTCACACCCCACTGTGTCTTATTGCTTAAATACCCATACCCCCAGAGGTGTCTTAAAACTACCATTAAAGTTTATATTGTGTATCAAAATGTGTTTACAGGACTGGGAAAATATACTATTGACATTTTGAAATGTTGAGAAGTAGTTTTAGGAGAACTGTACGGCGCTCGTAAATTAATCTCCCCAGCAGAGTATGCACCAGCCAATTACAGTATTTCTTGAGTATATGAAGTCCTCTCTTGCACATTAAAAAATAGCTTAGACAAAAAAAAAAGCCTTATGAATTTAATATTCTAAAGGGAAAGATTAAACTCTATGAGCATGCTAATGCCCTTAATATCCAATGAACAATCTGAAATATATTTATATTTGCAATAAAGCAATTTCAGGAAGCTGGGGTTATCATCAGATAATCACTCCTCCACATTGTGCCTTATTGCTTAATTTTTAATATGTGAAACAAACAAAACTTCTAACAAATTAGCCTGTCCTTCAGTATAAGGTAAGAAGAACCAGAAATGTTTTACACTTGGTCTTAAGGCCAAGGGAATTCTAAAACTGTATTAAACCACAATAAAAGAAAAACAACAGCTGTTGGCATGAGAAATTTTTAAAGCTTGTAAACCTTACTCATAACTCCTGAAATAGCACCTGGTGTTTTTTAGTTGCTGTAGTTACATTCCTATTGCAGATTATAAGCAAAACTTTCCTTTTAAAAACTGATTTAGATGTTCAGAGGAATACATGCACCAATATTTTACAAAAGATCTGTGGACAGCATGAAATGATAAGCCTTTTAAAAATCTGTATTGTTTACAAAACAATAGAATGATTGTTGAATAAGTGAATTACATTTCCCTTTTTGCCAGTGATCCTTTTTATTCCTTCTAAAAGGTTGACTTATTTTCATTAATAACTTTATTATATTGCAGATCCTTTGTGTGTGGGACAAAGATTTTCATTAACTTGCTAAGAAAGCATAATAGGTTGTAGCATAGTCCTAAAGTGATAGTAATAGCCATATTCATTGTAGTTTTTAATTCTGCTTTATAATATTGAGATCCCTAGTAATCCCATTATTCTTATCTCTATAAAGCCTGCTAATATCTGGAATGCTCTGAGGAACGTAAAATAAGTTTTGCCATTCGCTTGTTAAATAACAAATGTAATTACACTCTGTACAAGTCAGTTTTCTAGAATGGTATCGAACTTTTCATGGCTTTGTGTTTTGAATATATAGCTTTTAAGAAGAAAACACCACCTGAGCATAACTATATGACAGTATCTGAACAAAACAGAAGGGCGTATAAAGAAATGCTTTTCTTCCAGTTTTGTTGTTCTCTGTATACTCAGGATTTTCATTTTGAGAAGAAATAAATAAATCCCAGTGCTGGCTTATACCATGGCTGTGAGAATCAGATCATTAGCAAAGACTGCCTGTCCTTCCACCTGTGGTTTGGCCATGTCCCTGACCACATGAATGTATGCTGGAGCTGGCTGTGAAGTCTTTTAGGCAAAAATTTTGTCTAGTCATGTTTGGATTTTTTTGAGGATTTCTAACAGTAAAGAAAAACCATCTTGAATTAGCTAGAAGTATTTAATTCAACCTTAAGTAGCTTGTTTTGCTTCTTATATATGTGAATAAAATCCCTTTAATCAGATCATTAGCAAAGACTGCCTGTCCTTCCACCTGTGGTTTGGCCATGTCCCTGACCACATGAATGTATGCTGGAGCTGGCTGTGAAGTCTTTTAGGCAAAAATTTTGTCTAGTCATGTTTGGATTTTTTTGAGGATTT